GCTTGACCAGACTGTTGCTGCCCTACCTCTAGGTAGCCTCTAGAAGACAGACTGTGGCCTGGGCTTGATAACAATGGGCCTCTGACTAATTGGAATATGTAGGCTTAAATGTGGCAGCAGCAGATTTGGTCTATGATTAGTTCCCTTTCTGTTGATAGAACAAAATACACTAACAAAAAAAGTTAAGGAAGAAAGCATTTATTCTAGCTTACAGTTCCAGAGGGGACATCAATCATTGTGGTAATACCTTTCACAATATGGATACAGTCTGGCCAAATTACTTTTACCTAATCCTGCAACCAAAAAGTTAAATCTTATCTTGTTTATAGTGTAGACAAGCTCACTAAGCCTTGAGTTCCTCTTATAACCTAAACACACTAGTTCTTTGTGACCCTCCCTTGCCCTGGACCTAGAATAGTGTATGCATGTATATGTGTATATGTTCAAAAGTGTGGCCTGATAATTTCTGTTTATGGTTGTATGTGTGTCTTGATCTAAATCTAGGAATCAAAAATGGCAAAATTATTCAATAAAATAAGGGTTTAACTTTTACTTCACTATTTCATGCTGGATATACTTTTTCAGTTAAAAAAAAAAAAGAGCCAGCCCTTCCTTGTTTAAGAGCACAGTTCTAAGGGAATTCTGAAGGCACAGGTTCTCAGCACTTTGGGTCCCCTGTTGGTTTTTGTTAAGGCATAGCCATAAGGTGGCATTGCATTGCAAATGCTGCTGTCCATCATGGCAGGGAAGGCATGGCAGCAGGAGCGGGAGGCCAGCCCGGCAGTTAGGAAGCAGACTGATCACAGTTCATCTGCACATAAGAAGCAGGGAAAGAGAACAGCAAGCAGGGCCAGGCTATAAAACCACAACACCCACCCTAGAAATGTACTTCCTCCAACAAGGCTCCACTTCCTAAAGTTTCCATAACCTTCCTAAACAGTACCACCAAATGGTGACCAAGTGTTCAAACACACAAGCCTATGGGAGACATTTCACATTCAAACTGTAACAGTCAGAATCACAGACTCTTGTAGTTAATGAAAAATACAAGTGTCTTCCCTAACGCTAGGCAACTAGGGTACTGTAACCCCACTATGTGTCACTCACTACTATGGGAGTTGAGACTGTGGGCTGTAAGAAAGTAGGGTGCTGACTGTGATGCAGGAGAGTCTGGGGAAGTGTGGGGCAGGTACAGAAAATGGGAAGAGCCAGATTTCCATGAATTTGGTGGTAAGAGGAGGCCCAAGGAGCAACTGTGTCATGTTTAGATTTTTAAAATGAGAGCTTATGTAAACAACCCAAAATCAGTCTATGTCTAAAAGAATTTCCCTGACATAAGGCTAGCAAGATAAGCCCAGAAGGTAAAGGTGCTTGCCTCCAAGTCTGATGACCTGAGTTCAAGTCCCAGAACCCACATAAAAAGGTGGAAGGAGAGAAATGACTCCACAAAGTTGTCCTCTGACTACACACATGCATTGGCGTGCACACACACACACACACACACACACACACACAAATTTTTAAAATTTTCCCTGATACATACATTGAATTAGACTTTGAGGTTTACTCTAATTTGATGAATGAGCATCTATATTTCAGTTCAAATGGCTTGTAGTTCCCAAAACTAGTTGTGGCCAGCTAACCTATAGTAAGAGAAATGAAGAACAAATTCTAAGGAAAATGGAAAACAGACCACATGGGAAGTTTGAGATTATAAAGTAAAAAGACAACAAACAAGAAAAGGCTGGGCATGATGGCACCTACCTTTAATCCCAGTACTAGGGAGGCAGAGACAAGCAGATCTCTGTGAGTTTGATGTCAGCCTGGTTTCCATAGCAAGTTCCAGACCACTCAGAGCTACATAGTAAGAACCTGTCTCAAAAATAAAACAAAAACCAGGGGAAAAACCTCCCAGGTTATCAGAAATGTACAAGTTTCCTTAATTATCTCTAATAGAATGTGTAACTTGCAGGAGAGCTTCCTTTAGACCTAAATTCCTCAAGGTAGCCAAATGGCCCAAATTGGAGGCTTGTCCTTTAATCGGATCTTATCAACTGGTCACTTCCCTGATTGACAGAGACTTGTTAACTCCATAAGCCTGTTCTGGCAGCCTGGCCTTATTAACTGATCACGACAGAGACTGTTTGCAGTGTCAACCTCAAGGACCACAAGGACACTGATACCTGCCATCTGACACTGAGCGAATTCCTACAGCTGCATTCATTAGGGTCCCTATAGAAATCCAGATTGCTCTGCTTATTGATGCTGATGTCTGCATCCATGGACAAGACACCGGCCCTTTGCTATGTTCTCCTGAAGTAAAGTGGACATATTCCTTGCCTGTTGCAGGTCTAGCTCTGGTTCTTATTTCTTAACTTTAAACTCCTTCCTTTTTCTGCCATCCTAAATCTAACAATCTCTGCTCCCATGATGAGTACGTCATGTGCTACCTCAAGTGGTTCAGTAAAAGTCACTCTCTTCTGGCCAAGTTATTTGTAAGCTCACAAAGGTGAAGTGAGATGACCGTCAGGCCCTAAATTTAGAGGTTGGGATTATGGAGAAAGGAATGCCATGGTGCCTGGGGAAAGAGTGATGAGAAAGGAAATCCAATAGGGTGATTTAGAAAAGGACTTGAGTCAGAGTCAGCCTGGCACCATGTCAAACAAATGAGCCATCGTAATCCTCACATAACAGTTCAGAAATGACTGCCTCAAGATTAGCACTGGCTTCACAGTCAGAATTCTCTTTTCCTTTTCTTAGAATTGACACAGTGCTCTTCAAAATGTCTAAAGACAGGTGATGACCATTGGTTCAGTGTTTTGTATGTGCAGTTCTGGTCTGGAACTAAGTGCTTACATGCCTTTCACAACATCCTCATGAGATTAGATGCTATTATTATCTACTCCCCTAAGCATGGGGCAACCATCAACCCCGCTTAAGATGTTGAGTAACTTGCCCAAAGTCACATAGCTAGTAAATGAGAGAGCCAAGACACAGACTTATGACTGCTGACTCAAAAGCTTGAGTTTTTCGTCACAACTTCACAGCACTTCCTCAGACTACAAGCTAGGAAACTTGATTGCTGTGTTGTTTTAACATTGAAAAAGCATTTAAAGTTGATTGTGGTGGTGCACACCTTTAATCCCAGCAGAGGCAGAGGCAGGCATATCTCTGTGAGTTCAAGGCCAGCCTGGTCTAGATAGTGAGTTCCAGGCCAGTTGGGACTACAGGGAAATCCTGTCGCAGAAAGGCCAGAAATAAAAATAAATAAATAAATAAAAAGCATTTAAATGTTTTCCATACTTCATTTATTCTGTAGTCCAGGCTCCCATCCTCCTGCCTCAGCTTCCCCAGTAGCAGAGATTACAGGCCTGCACCACCGGGCCCAGGTCTATATCTCATGTTAGTCTCAAACTAGGGAATTTTAAACATATTTGATTTATTATTTTTATTTTATGTGTATGAGTGGATTGTCCACATGAATATAAGTGTGCCCATGTCATGCAATGCCTGTAGAAATCAGAAGAGGGCATCAGATTCCCTGGAACTGAGATCTATGGATGGTTGTTAACTGCCATGTAGGTGCTGGAAACTGAATCTGGGTCCTCTGCAAGAGCAGTCAGTGATCTTAACTGCTGAGTCATCTCTCCAGTTCCCTCAAACTAGTGAATTTAAGCATTATTTTCTTTTCTAGAAAATTCAAGTTTGTCAGTAGAGACAGACAGCAGACCAGTGGCTACTTAAGGATGGGAGAGGCCTGAAAGAGACTAAAAAAAGAAATTATAAAGTTGCAGGTAAAAACTTTGGGGAGCAATAAGTATATATGCCACCATATGTTGATTGTTGGGATGATTTCACAGTGTATATCAACTTTGTCAAATCATATACTATAAATATGTAGTTTCTTTCATGTCAATTACATCTTGTTTTTAGATGAGGAAGTAGGTATCATGAGAAACTTGAAGGATCTTGTCTGAGATTACTTAGAAAGAGGTAACAGAGACAGCATAATAATATGCTTTTTGTTTGTTTTTGAGGCAAGGTCTCTTTATACAGTCCTAGCTGTCCTGGAACTGGCTATATAGACCGGGGTGCCTTGAACTCACAGAGGTCTGCCTGCCTCTGCCATTCCAAGTGCTGGGACTAAAGGTGTGCACCACATCTGACAAATTTGGTTTTCAAGATTCTTGATCAAAGCCAGGTGTGGCAGCCCATACTTGTAACCATACACTGGAGACAGAGGCAGAAGTTACTGCTGTGAGTTTGGTGCCAGCCTGGACTACAAAGTGAGTTCCAGGCCAGTGTAGGCTACAGAGCAATATCAATGAAATGAAATAAAATAAAATATTGGGAGGCATGGTGTATACCTATAAGCCTAGCACTTGTAATACAGGAAGGAGGATCATAAGTTCAAGGTCATCCTCTCTCTGTGATAGAGTGGTGAGCCTAGAGACACATGAGACCTAGTCTCTAAACCACACAGACACACACACACACACACACACACACACACACACACACACACACACACACACTGTCCTAGTTACTTTCTATTGCTGTGATAAAAACCCTGACCAAAACCAACTTTTTGGGGAAAGGGTTTATTTGGCTTACAGCATAGTCTCATCATCAAGGAAAGCCACAGCAGGAACTCGAGCCAGTAACCTGGTGCACAGACCATGGGGGTATGCTGCTTACTAACTTGCTCCTCTAGCTGGTTCACAGCCTGCTTTCCTACATAACACATGACCACCTGCTCAGGGGTGGCACCACCCATAGTGGGCTGGGCCTACCTGCATCACTCAACAATCAAGAAAATGCCCCCCAGACATGGCCATAGGTCAATTCAATGGAGGAAATTCTTTAATTTACATTACCTCCTTCCACATGTGTCAAGTTGACAACTGAAACTATTCTGAACACACACACACACACACACACACACACAGTTTTTTCACCTAAATTTGGTAAATTTTTTCCACATGGTTTTATTTATTGTTTAAAATATGGAGCACTTCACAAATTTACATGTGCTCTTTGCCCATGGGACATGTTAATCTTTGTATTGTCCCAATTTTAGTATATGTGCTGTTAGAGTAAGCACCCAATATAGTTTATAAAAAGGCAAATGCACATCTTCAGAAGCTTGTCTTCATGCTGTATAATCTATAAGGAATTTTTAATAAGGAATTCTGTAATATATGGCCAGCAGGGAGCAACTAAATACTTGGAAAACAGGAACGTGCAAGAAAAAGTTAAAATTGGGATTGTCTGTTGGCATTGTGCTGTGTGAGACAGTTGGGTGCCTTTAAGATGGTAATTAATACCCAGTCACACAGTCACACATTGAATTTGTGAAAATAATTGAAGCACTCTTCTAAGTAGATTATAAGAATCCCATTCTAACTTCTAAGTTCTGTGTGGAATAGATTGTTTGGGTTTTCAGTAATTTATGTATTTATAATTGATGAGGTTTTAAAAATTCTTGTAGAGACTCCCAAAATGACATAGGCTATTGCCACAGCCCATGATAGCCTCCCAGAATTTGAAGGTAAGACCCTACAGCCGAAGACAGAACATATGTTGGATTTGGAGCAATAGAGCTTGAACTGACCTGAAACCACTTCCCCTGAAGGCTAGGTCTCATAGCTTTGGTGAGCACTATGAAGGTGCCAAGGGAAATTGATGGTTCAACACCAGCTTCAAGACAAAATAACCACATCAATGGTTGGTACAACACACGACAGTGGTGTAGGAGTGACACTTTTATCTTGGAGGCAATCAACAGCTACCTAATTGGACTAAAAACTCATTCAATGGGAGGAAACTCAAGTGTGGGCCTGTAAACGTAACCAAATACACATGGCTGGAGAGGTCATAGATCTTAGAGAAAACCCAAGACTATCACATCCATACACTAATATTTCTTGCTATGTGCGAAAGATGTATCCTTATATTTACAAACATTCCAGTCACCACTCATCAAAGAAGCTTATTTTGCATCAGTTGGAGACTATTACCAAGTACCACAACTGGTCACACACAGCCATTGTCTATGAATTTCCCAGGCCTAAGGTGACACATCTACAATGCAACCTCTACACCTAAGGCACACGGAATATTGAACAGGGATAATGAAGATGACACTAATGAATCTCTCGATTGTCATTGATGAAAATCCCTCATGCAGCAGAGGGCCAGGAACACAAAAGGTCCCAAATGGTCAAAACGTACAGATTAAGAGTCTGCAGATTAGCCAGGCGTGGTGGCGCACGCCTTTAATCTCAGCACTTGGGAGGCAGAGGCAGGCAGATCTCTGTGAATTCGAGGCCAGCCTGGTCCACATAGTAGTCCAGGACAGCTGAGTCTGCAGGGAGACCTTGTCTCAAAAAGACCAAAAAAAAAAAAGAGTCTGCAGATTACTAGATTACTGGTCCTTAGACAGGATGCCTATAAATGCACTTTCAGTTTCAGATTATTTCCAGTTTATCTTTGTAGAAACATAACCCCACTGTAGTTAAGTTAATCTGAGCCATTTCCTAACCTTCATTTGTGGAGACTAATTTTTGATGTTATTCTTAGCATATATTAATTACATATAAAATGTGTTTCATTATGACATCTTACATGTACACCATGCATTTTGATCATATTCACCCATTACCCTCTCTTTCCCATTCCCACTACTCTCACACTTCTTCCCAGTTAGTCACCTTTTTACTTTTACCCAATGAATTGCATTAGGGTTGCTTATAGAAGCTTGTGTGAGGACTTGTTTACAGTGGCATGGGCACTGTACCCACGGGTACACCACTGAAGACAATTTCTCTCTGTTATCAACCATTAGCTGCCTTTAAACCCTCAGGATAAGGTGGGGCATTTCGAGACTCTTCCCTCTTTTTTTTTTTTTTTTTTTGTCTTTTTGAAGCAGGGTCTCCCTGTAGCCCCAGCTGTCCTGGAACTCACTATGTAGACCAGGCTGGCCTTGAACTCACAGAGGTCCACCTGGCTCTGCCTCCCAAGTGCTGGGACTAAAGGTGTGCGCCACCACACCTGGTGAGGCTCTTCCCTCTTAATGGCAGGATGTTGACAGGCCCCACTTTGTGCCTGTCTTATGCGGATACTCATAGGTACTGTTAGCTCAAGAGTCTCGAGTCATGCCAGGTCAGGTGTTTTGCCTACATGTATATGAATGCACTATGTGTGTGCAATGCCTGTTGAAGCAAGAAGAGGGCATTGAATTCCCCTGGAACTGGAGTTAAGGATGGTTGTTAGCCACCATGTGGGTACTGGGAACTTAACCCCAGTCGTCTGGAAGAGCAGCTAGTGCTCTTAATCACTGAGTCACTTCTCTAGCCCAAGATTAATTTTTAAACCTTGTCAGTGTTCTCCAGAGAAACCAAGCCAATACAATGCATATAAGATATTTAGATATAGATGTTTATTTTAAAGAGTTGGCACATGTGACTGTGGTGACCTATGAAAGGGTTTCAGTTTGAGTCCAAAGGTAAGATAGTGTCAGAATTGCTTCTTGCTCTGGGCAGGTAGGTCTTTGATGTATTAAGGCCTTCAGCCAACTGGAGAGGGTCCAGTCACATTATGAAGGACAAACTGCTTCACTCAGAGTCCACAGATTTAAATGTTAATCTCCTCAAAAAACACCTTCACAGAAACATCCAGAATAATATTTAACCAAATATCTGTGCAACATGACCCAGACTAGTTGGCATATGAAATTAATCATCACAGTTGTCTTATTTGTTGATATCACAGCTCAAATTTGGAAAATATCATATATGGTCAAATATTCTAAGCTTTATCCAGATGCAACCACAGTATTAGCACAGAGAAAGTCTTCATTCATGCTGATTTAAATTGAACTGAGATTACATGAATTGAATTAAATATCACTAGTGGCAGCTGGGTTCCACCAGACTTCCATGTGAGGAAGGATACAGGGCAAGCTCTGGTCAGCTTGTCTAGCTTTACCTCCTGGCTCCCCTGAGAACCTGTGTGCAATTCTGGATTAGTTACTTAATTTTGATATAACTTTCCATTTCTTCACCCATACAAAGAACAGTAATAATGACTACTTATGGTACATTTTGCTATTGTTAATCAGCATTCTCTACTTTTTCCTTCTGGATACACAGTGGACTGAACATTTCTCAACACTCCTGCAATTGGAAGAAGCCATGTGGCCAAGCCTAGTCAGTGAATACTGGGGAACTGACATGTATCAGGCAGGTGTGGTAGCACACACCTGCAATCCTAGCACTCAGGAAGAGGAGGAGGCAGGACCATCAGGAGTTCAAAATCCTCCTCCTCAGATACATAGATGTTCTAGGTCAATATGAATTTCTGAAGTCTTTCTTCCCTGCTTCCCCCACTTTGGCAATCTGGAACAAAATATTTCTGTTAATATATAATTGGTAGCCAGGTGTGGTGGCACATGCCTTTAGTCCCAGCACTTGGGAGGCAGAGGCAGGTGGATCTCTGTGACTTCAAAGCCAGCCTGGTCTGCATAGTAAGTTCTAGGCCAGCTGGAGCTACAGGGAGACCCTGCCTCAAAAAGACCCCCCAAAAGTGGTATAATTGGTAAGATATGGTTAAGATAATTGTTAAGATATAACTGGTAGTACCCGAGGGTTGAAGCAGCCTAGATTTTCATGTTGCTGCGTGGAAGACAGCAGCTTGGAGAGCTGCCTGCATCCAGAGCCAACTTTTTGAGAATAAGAAATTAACCTAGTTAAATAATTAACTTTTTAAAGACTTTCCTGGCACAGTTTTAACCAGAACTGTTTAGAGAGTTCAGTGAGATACTGCATGAGAACTGCTTGTAAGCACTCAAATGTTAAAATACTGATCAAATCATATCAGCTTTAAACAAAATGTTTTTCCTTTGAAAATGTAAGCCAGGCCTGATCTATGGCTCACACCTGTAATCTCAGTACCTAAGAGACTGAGACAGACTGATTGCCATGAGTTTGAGGCCAGCCTGGTCTATGCAATGAGATTGTCACCCAAAATCCAAAAACACAGAAGCAACTAAAACAAAGACGGAAAAGAAAAAGAAAGAAAAAAGTTGAACAGACAAATTAAAGTGCCAAATGAGTTTTGTTTAAAATATTTCACAGTACTATCTCATTCATGAATAAATGAACTTTTAAAAAGGTGTGCTAACCCTTTGATAATTGCTATCATTCTTTTCACCAGACTGGCAAGATTTCAATTTCCACTTCTTCTGGTACACTTGTGCTCTCATTGAACAAATACTCTCGGACACAGTTGTCCACAAGAAATTTAGCTGTCCACAAGCCGAAGAGATGGCTCAGTGGGTAAAGGCACTTGTTATGCAAACCCAATGACCTGAGTTCAGTCTCTAGAATGCATGGAAAGATGGAAGGAGAGAACTCACTCCACAAAAGTGTTCTCTGATCTCCAGTGGTGCACTGTGGCATGCATGTCCCTGCCCCCATGTATACATACACAATAATAATAAAAAAAATTGGTAACCAGGCATGAGGTTACATGCTTGTAAAACCATCTGCTTGGGAGGCTGAAGCAAGAAGATTGCCACACTCAAAGCCATCTTGGGCAACTTAGCAATTTCTTGTTTCGAAATAAAATACAAAACAGTGGGGGGAGGCCAGAAGTGTTAGCTAAGTGGTAGAGTGTTTATTAGCATGCACTAGGTCCTGAGTTCAATTCTCACTATTGAGAAAAAAATATTTTCTTGGGCTAAGGGAGCTGGAGGGATGGTTCTGTGGGTAAAATGCTTGCACAAGGCCGAGTTTAGATAACCAGCACTCATGTAAAAAAGTGGTCATGGTGGCAAAAGCTTGTGATCTGAGCACTGGGAGATCGAGACAGGAGGATCCCAATGGCTCACTGACCAGCCAGTCTAACCAATCAGTGAGTTCCAGGTTCAGTGAGACCCTCTTTCAAAAAATGAGGATGGGACTAGAAAAATGGTTTGGCATGTAAAGCACTTGCTGCATAAGCCTGAGGACCAGAGTTTGATTCCCAGAACTCAAGTAAAGGTGGAAGGAGAGAACCAACCCCACAGAGTTGTGCTCTGACCTTCACACATGTGAATGTATT